AAGTGTTATGCACATATTTCATTCACAGTTTAATGAAGTGAAGTTAGTAAAATTTAATAGACGTCAATTCAGTCCTTTTTTTTTTTTTTTTCACAGCAAGAACATATGTCGTTAAAAGTTAACTTCGATGATTTTGAGGCTAAAGTCTATTGCTATGAATTATTCTTTTGTCCCTGAAAAAATCTTATGACAGCCTCTTCATCATAAGGTAACTGCCAAATTGTGTAATCATACTAACAAATATGGTAAAAAAATAACAAGTGATGATATTTCAAATGTTAAATTCTCAAGCCACAATATTTGGCATATTGTTGTAGCCTTGTTTTCTTCTCATTTTTAACTGACTCCGCTCTAATGGAATAGTACCAGGGCATTTTTATCCCTTGAGTAGCCATGCTCCTTATGAAATGTGGTGTCATATTTCCATGTTCTTCTTTTATCATTTTGTTTACAAGTAGAATGAGACAATTTCCTAACTTGTTCTCACAAATTATTCAAGTGTCATGAAATTCCAGCTCATTCAATTCTGATAATAACACGTGCAATGTAAAATGGCTGTTATTCCACCACACTTAAAACATGTACTACAGCATCTCCCCCTAGTCCAAGACCAGTCAGTTTCTTTGCAAATTTTCCTGAGTATATATCAAAATGAAATATACAGTCTTCAGAAGAACATAAACACCAAATTTTTTACCCAGATGAATAAGTTTTCCTTTGAAAAACATTTTGCACAAATATCTATCTATGTACCATTTGCTCATCTATAGAAAGATGTGTTGAAAAAAATCTCATACTGCATGAAATTTAACCCTTTCGCAACGGCGCACCTCTGTTTAAGACATTCGTGCGGGATGGAAGGGATTTGAAGGCAGTCACCATATAGGATGGAGGTTTTGCATCGCTAAGCCTAATTTTATATATATGAAAAAGTTTTGCTTCTAGCATCATAATTTTTGGTATATCATTTTGGATTATTACTTGAGCTCTTATATCTGTTAAAATTAGCACTTGATAACGTTTTTTTTTTCTTTATTTTACATGAAAAAATATACTTAAAAAATTGCTTATCTTGTAAAATAATTTTTGGAAGTTCTATTATTCCAAAGTTTTAATTGATGAAATCCATCAATAAAGTTTAAAATTAATAAAACAACACAACAAAGACTATTTAAAGTAAGAAGTAACAAAATTTAAAATGTTTAAAATGAAGACTGAGTGTGTAAATGGTTATTTTTTAGCTAAATACAAATTCTGCTAGATATTACTATGTGTAGAACTTGCCATTGCTATGCATACTAATGGGCAACTTATATCTTCAGCTGGAAACCAGTTGGGTCTTTCTTGAGAAAGACATACATAACCACCCTAAAGCAGAAAGCCTATTATGCAAAAATATGATTTTTCATACACTTTTTCATATGTATATTTTCTCCATTATATAAATAACAAAATATTTTGTTAAAAAAAAACCCAGCAATGTCTGCTCTTTACAGTAAATTCGCTAGCAAATGCAACATGCATAAATATATGTATATAATTCCATTAAATGATACTTCTTTGTATTTTATCCATATCAGTATCAATTTATGAATGCAACTATTAAGCCTGATAAATTAATCACTTATAATATTCTGAACTTTGTCTTGTAAATTATAATACATACACAGATACTAATATAAATACTATTTGCATCTACCTCTTTCCTTTTATTCAGTTATTTGGGTATGTTACCCACATATCTTAATATAAAAAATTGTCTGAAATTTTGCACACACTGAAAATGTATCTTTAACCCTCAGTTGGAGGGGCTGGCGTATGGTACAATCTTAGAGGGGCGGTGTATGAAGTACGCCAGGTCATTTTTCGAGCCTCTGCTTCGTGTTTGAAACTATTTAATGTTATAGATGGCATTAATAAGGTGATTCGTCATAGTAAAAATGATATAAGAAAAAGAATAACAGAAAAAAAGCAGTAAAGATGGAAACTACGAATTTTTAATTAATTCAAAAAGTGGATGCACTGGAAATGTAATTTAAAGTTAAATAGTATTCTGCATTATTTTCTGTATGAAAATTATAAGAACATAAATAAAAATTACAAATATTCCATAAAGAAAATTCGCTAAGGAATAAATTTCACAAATGAAAAATTTGAAAACCTTTTGCTATTTTAATCCTCTTCCGATTGTCTCTGTTCACTGCAGCAGGGTTTGCAAAGTTGTACTGTCTTGCCCAGATGATTTTTGCAGGTAAACTTAGAACACTCAGAACATTTTATGGTAGTGTGGTTATTCTTTATTCTACTGCACTCAGCACAGCGTCCTTTGATCTTTTTTGCAGGTGGTTCCTCGTCCCTTTCGGTCGTCTTGTCCGCTTCTGTTGTTATCAGTCTTCTAATAATAGCTTTGGAATGCGACAGGAGAAATGGCATTTTCAGACTTTTCTGAAGATGTGGTTTCATCAAAGATGTAGCTAAATTTTTCAAAAAATATCTTCTAAACTTGATGGTTGCATCAGGTTTGGAGAAGTTCAAGAGCACTTGCGAATTTATCCCCGGTACGTTTAGCAGTGCAAAAAATATTGCCATTGTCCACCTCTTGATTTTTCGGGCGGCAGTGAAATTACTACAAAGTTGGTCTATGGTATCAACTCCCTTTACATTTGTTATAATCGAGGATTATTTGAGGTTTATTCGTTTCCTGGTCAATTTTGTCATCATCGTGTAAAGTACTGAGCAGTATTACACTTATTTTTTTTCGTTGCATATGAAACAATTGTCATATCCTTTTGAAAACCAAACAGTGAACTGCCAATTTCTCTGGTTTTTGATGGCTGGAATTCATTTGGAATTTCCTTTTTATTTATTTTATTTTTTTCAGCGTGCCCACAAGTGTTATACCTTTGGTAAGAAGATATTGAGCTAGCGAGTAGCTTGTATTTCAATTATCGGTCGTCAGGTTACGGTTGGAACCTTCGTACGCACCAATTAGCCTTTTGACAATGTCAATACTTGAATTAGAAGCCTCGTAAGGTCGTGGGGGTTGATTGCCACAGTAAATTTCAAGCTTCAATGTATAAAACGTTCGTGAGTCAACAACTGCAAAAATTTTCAGACCATACTTTGCGGGCTTGTTGGGGATGAACTGAATAAAACAGCACGAAAGGGTTCCAACTTCTCGGTGATTGTGAGTTCGTTACCTGGTGTATAAAAGTTTTGACAGTTCTGATTGAAAGATTCAAAAAATTCTCTTAGTGCAGCAAGCTTAACAGTTTTTCTTTGCAATACCTTGTGCCTTTCATCGAATCTATTAGCAGCACACAGGTTTCTGAATCGCTTGAAACTCGTGACTCTATTAGTTCAACTCATTGCAAACTTTTATTCATAATCATGAACAGCACTAAAAACTTATACAGAAAAAAAATTACAGACGTCCACCTTCAGCACACCCAACACCAACACATGTCGTGAACGAAAAACACATGGTCAACAAAACTCTTTAGTTAATGTTACAGTTACATATGAAAATTTAAAACAATAACACAGCAAAAAAAAAAAAAAAAAAAAAAAAAAAAAAAAAAAAAAAAAATTTTGAAAATTCACACACTTAATTAAAAAAAATTAAATGCACATTATTACAGTTATTAGCAATGACAAATAATTATTTGCCCACCTTTCTTTCATAATTTAAATTGATTTTTTTACCAATTTCTGAGCTATCACCAGGCCACTGAAATGCTAAGTTCAAATCCAATGTATTGGACTGGTGCAGCCATCTACTGACAAGATAGTGAAATGCAAAGTGTTCTAACATTACTCCCTCACCAGTAACTAAGTTACGATACTTAAATTGCATTGGTAAGGTCAATAATCGAATAACGTGATCACTATTACGTATAAAAGAATCAATTTCTAAGCTTGCATCTGGTTCTGAATTGTAAGGTTATAGCAAATTAAAATACAAATAATAATTAAGGTAGCTGGAACTTCAAGATATATCACTAATCTTTTTTGTTCCATGCTGGAAATCCACATAATTGTAGATACCACATTCAATATTCTATACATTCATTATACATTTCATTATTATATCTCAAAGTTAATATATACATACATACTCCATATCTGGGCTTAACTGAACAATTCAATGACATGCTTTCAGTGACATGAAAATAGTTAACACCAATGAAAATCTGATCAGTATTACTAAAATTTTCACATTTCATAGCAGGTATTTAAAACACCAAATGCACTTTTCTTATTTTACTCACTCCTGACTGACTCAATGCAACACTGTCCTGAATATACACCTTAGCAACTAATATTCTTTGAAAATTATTAGTTTTCTGAAAAACAGGTATTAGTACTGCATTAAACTGCAGCTGGGATAGAAATTATATTTGCTCTAAAGCTCATATATGCCTAATACCAACATGATTAGAATACTACTTATTTACATACAGCTCAAATTCTTAATTTTCATTACTGCAATCTAACATTAACAAATTAGTGAAAAAGACATATCTCATAATACATAGATATATGTGCACTACACTATATAGCACTGAAATATTCTAACTGAAACAACAATTGTATTTTATAAGATAGCTTCTAAGGAGGTAATGCAGATGTTATGCCTAAGCAAAAACACACTGCATTCCAAAACACAATAATACCAACCCTTACAGCTAATACATGCATATAGAATTTGAAGCAAAAATTTCTGGAACAGTAAAAAGAATATGGAAAGTATATCTGAAAATATTCATGAACAGTAATATATTGCTCAATATCTACACCACTACGACTCTGGTATATTACAGAAGATACATAAATTAGAAATTATAAAATCAGTATACATTATTGTGAAGGAGATAAATACGATATGACATCAGCACTAATTGGAGAAGTAGATCATGAATAATAATATTTGCAGTAACAAGAAATAAGAGTTGTGATTTAGTTTTAAGTTCGAAACCTAACAGAGAGTTTTATTTCTCTACCACAACGAGTGTTTGTTGGGAAATTACTATGATGCATTTCCTTTGAGGATCCACCATTGACATCGTCGTCAATAAGCTGATTCGGTAGCTCTGGCATGCTATCTGCATTCATAAGGTAAGCAGGTTTCAGCCTATCAATAGAGATGTTAACATCTTTTCCTTTAATATGCACAGAATAATACTTATCATGTCTTTTTGCTACAGGAAATGGGCCATCATATGCAGGCTCTAGTGGTTTTTTCACCCGATCAACTCTTACGAACACATGAGTACAGGTCCTTAAATCTCTATGCACAAAAACTTTTTGATAAGATTGACATGTATCTGCAGACTTCATTGGCTTTACTAGGGCCATCTGCTGCTGAAAATTGTACACAAATGTGTCAGGTTCAACGTGGACACTGGGTTTTTCAAAAAATTCACCAGGAAGCCTGATATTGGTACCATATACCATTTGAGCAACAGAATAGTTTGTACCATCTCTGATAGCAGCTCTTAAACCCAACAAAATTGTGGGTAGCATATCACTCCATTTTACATTATTGTGAGCTTTTGTTGCAGCCTTTAGTGTCCTGTGAAAGCGCTCTATTTTCCCATTACATTGGGGATGATAGGGCGTTGTATGCAGAAGTTTAGCACCACAAAAAGCATGCAAGATTTTTAAACATTTGGGAGGTAAACTGGTGACCTTGGTCAGTTACAATACACTGTGGCACTCCAAATCTGCTCACCCAATGGTCATAAAAAGCTTTACTCACCAGTTCTGCAGTTGATATTCTTCTAATGGAACTACCTCCATCCAACAGGAAAATCTATCAATGCATGTTAGACAGTAAATTTTACCATTAGATGGTGGCAAAGGCCCAATCAAATCAATATGGATGATGCTAAATCTGGCATCAGGTTCTTGATATGTACCAAAGGTTCGATTTGGTGTGTCTTGTTACTTTTAAACTTTCTGGCACTGCAGACAAGCTCTAGCCCAATCACTTGCTTGTTTCTTCATCCTGGGCCAATACAAATCTGGCAGTTATCTGTTTTACAGTGGATCTGACACCAGGATGTGCAAAACCTATGGATATGATCAAAAACTTTCTTGCGAAAACTTTGAGGTACATATGGGCGAATATTGCTAGCTGAAGTGTATCACACCATAGGACATTTTTAGATTGTAGTACATATTCCTTGAAAATTAATGAGGTGTTACTTGCAATTAATTCTTTCAACTCAGGGTCATTCTGTTGTGCCTTTGCAATTTCTTCATAATCAATTACAGATATCTCTTCAATTCTGGAGAGAGTATCTGCTACAATATTGTCTTTTCCACTAATGTGCTGTAATATTTGTAGTAAACTGGTACGAGATGTACTGTAACTGACGCAGCTGCCTAGGTGAAGCTTTATCATTCTTTTGCTTGAATGCAAAAATCAGTGGTTTATGATCGGTGAAAATTTGAAAATCTCGTCCTTCCAGCATGTATTTAAATTGCTTCACAGAGAGATATATTCCAAGCAATTCACGATCATATGTACTGTATTTTCTTTGAGCCCCATTCAGCTTACCATCTTCATACTGTTGCAAAACTGAACCAATTGCCCAATCTGAGGCATCAGTGCACAGAGATAATGGACATTCAGACTTTGGATAACTTAACAGGGCAGTATTAGCCAAGTCAGTTTTGAACTTCTCAAATTGCTTTATGCTTTCTTCAGTCCAAGGTACTTTACTTTTATCTTTTTTCTTTGCTCCCTTAAGCATTTCATGTAGCATGGCCTGGGTCTGCGCTGCATCTTTCAAGTACCTCCTATAAAAATTTACCATGCCTAAAAATGTTCTTAAACCATGAAGAGTGGATGGCAGTTCATAATCAAGAATAGCTTTAACTTTGTTTGGTAGAGGTTGCGAACCAGAAGGCGTAACGAGACACCCCCAAAATTCAATTTCTTTAACTCCAAATATGGACTTTGACACATTTATGCATAGGCCATATTTATCAAGCCTTTCGAAAATTAAGCTAGATTTCAGGCGTGTTTTATGCTCATCCTCAGATGACGAGGCGATTAAAACATCATCAAGATAAGAAAACAGAAATCAAGCCCTCGAAACACCTCGTGTACAAATCTTTGAAAAGGTTGAGGGAGCATTTCGGAGACCAAAACTCATAACGTTAAACTCCGTACAAGTCCAAATGGTGTGTAATAATGGCTGTTTTTGGTTTATCCTCCTCAGCTATGGGTATTTGATAGTATGCTTTGAATAGGTCTAATTTTGAGAAAATTGTTTTCCCACTCAAGATTAAATGAAAATCCTCAATCCTAGGAATCGGGTATCTGTCCGGGATAGTCTGTTCATTCAGACATCTATAATCACCACATGGTCTTAAAGTTCCATCTTTCTTTGTAACCAGATGCAGAGGACTAGCCCACTGTGATTTAGATGGCCTGATTATACCATTGTCTAACATGAACTGAAACTCTTGTTTTGCCAAATTCAGTTTCTTAGCATCAAGCTGCCGAGCACGAGAGTAAACTGGCTGTCCTTTTGTAGCAATATAGTGCTGGACCTTATGTTTCACTTTGGTGTTCAATAAATTGGGCTTCGTAATACCAGGGTACTTTCGCAACAGCTCAGAGAATTTTACAGAATTGCTCACTGTGCTAATCGCAGTATTTTCAGTTACTGACATTACATCACTACGTAGAAACATATTTGTCACACCATCAATTAATTTTCTCTGGTGAATGTCAAGCAGTAAGTGAAACTGATTCAGAAAATCGGCACCTAAAATGCCTCTGTTTACTTTTGCTACAACAAATGGCCATTGGAATGGGCGACGTAGTCCGAGGTCCACGGTCAACACCTTACTTCCAAACGTTGGGATTTCAGTTCCGTTAGCTGAGTATAGCTTATATGAAGTGCAGGTACTTTTAGATTTCGTATCAGCTGGAATCAAGCTGATATCTGCTCCACTGTCAATAAGAAATTTGATTCCTGTTTTTCTGTCTTTGATAAAAAGGCGAAATTTGCGGCAATTAATGTTTCCAGTAGCAGCAGGGCTTGCTGTTGATTCTACTGCTAGTTGCAGTTTTCCGGCTGCTTCCAACTGCAGGGAGGTTTGCATTTATCAGGGTAGCATTTTTTTCCAAATTTGAAATGGAAAAAACAGTATTTTCCATCTGGGTCAAAACACTTGCGGGATCTGCTGCGACTCCTATTTCTTTGATGGCTTCGACTTCGTCGTCTGTCTCTCGTGTGTTGAACACTCAGAGTCGCAATTTGTTGCTCAAGTGAAGAAATTTTTTTTAGCAACATATCATATGGGCCACCTTCTTGGACCACACTCGCAAGTTCTATCCGGGGATTCATCTCAAGAATTTTGTCGGCCATTGTGGCCAACTTATCAGTACCTTCATAACTAACAATTAAAATGTTTTTTACTTGGTCTGGCAGTTTCTCCATCCATAAAGTTCTCAGAATTTTATCAGACACATCATCAGCATCTCCAAGGGCACGCATTTTTCGGAGTAGTTGGCTGGGCTTTAGGTCTCCCAATTCTAGTCCAGTTAGCAATCGCTTGATGCGTTTGTTTTCACTTTCTTTAAAAGTGCTCAGAAGTCTTTCTTTAGCGGCTGAATATTTGTTTGGCGTGTCGTCTCACATGATGTCCCAAATGTTTTCTATAAATTTGGGTTCAAGTTGTGCAACCAGGTAATTAAATCTTTGCTCAAATATATTAAATGGCATGACTTTCCCCCTAAAATATTTTGATTGTTTTTCCTCATTCCACTTTTATCTATTTATGTGTGGGCATAGGGCGCCTTGCGCCCTCCGATAAGTGTGGCAACCCTAGAGGAGAAGTTTCTTACGAGTAGCGAGCAGAGCGAAACAGGCAGGCTGTCGGGGAGTGTGCGCGATGTTCCTAAATAAAGCTTAATTTTTATTGTGCACTATGTCTTGTTAATATTTATATTAATGCAGTAAGAACATAATCTGTGATATGGAATTCGAGGATTGGTGGTAAAAACATAACCGGAAATTTCCATAATGGTAACCCGGACTGTGTTAAATCGTATGAACAGTTCTCAAGCACTTTCGGTTTTGACTACAAGCCATCACTCAAGATCTCCAAACCAGAAGTAATGGATTACATCGGTTTTCATCCTCCGGATCACAGATGAGTAGTAATTATAGATCATTTTATAATTCTGTTTTCTACTTATCATTTAATTTCATTTTCTTTAGTTAAATTTTTGCTTTTATTTTGGCTTAAAAACCTTGCACAATGTCTGATGTTTCATGCCGTCCAAATTCCGGTTTATAACCGATCAGACCCATCTTTATGGTTTATTATGTGTGAAAGTACCTTTTGCTCTTGCCACCCCCAAACCTATCACAGAATCCATTACTAAATATAATTATGTAGTTTCTCATCTTCCTCCAGATATTCGCATCACTAGTACGGGATTTACTTATGAAACCAGACCCTATTGATCCATATGCAAAGCTTAAAACTGAGTTAATAAATCGTTCAGGAGAATCTTCTCAGCAAGAAATTCGCCAATTATTATCTGGAGAAGAATTAGGTTCTCGAAAACCTTCCGATTTGCTTAGAAATATGAAACGTCGAGCAGAATCTTTAAATGTTCCTGATAACTTAATGTTAGAATTATTCCTTCAACGTTTGCCTTCGACTGTTCAGTCTATTTTGGCAGCGGTTTCCAATTTAACTGTAGATAAAGCTGCAGAAATTGCCGACAGAATTTTAGAAGTAAATCCAACCCCAGGGACTTGTGCCGTTTCTCGCACAGTCGATCAGTCTCTTGAGGATAAATTATTTAAACAAATAGAAAAATTAAACAAACGTATTGATCGCATTTCTCTTTCTCGTGGTCGCTCGCCAAATCGCGGAGATCGCAATAAGGAAAGAAGCAATTCCAAAAGGAGAGATTATTCTGTTTTGCTGGTATCATAGACGTTTTGGGAAAAAGTGTAGAGATGACAAATGTACAAAACCTTGTTCATGGCAGGGAAACGAAACCAGCAAAGAATAGAGGCGACTTATTCTTTGCCTCAAGTTTCACGTCGCCTGTTCGTTCGTGACCGTAGAACAAACCTTTCATTCTTGGTCGATACCGGCTCTGACGTGTCCTTACTTCCAGCAAATAATTCTCAAAAACGGAATTCGTCCCAACAAACACTTTTCGCTGCTAATTCTTCTTCTACTATTCATGTTTATGGTCAAAAAACACTTTCTTTGGATTTCAAATTAAGACGACAGTTTACATGGACTTTTCTTATAGCAAATGTTAGTACACCCATTCTTGGAGCAGATTTTCTCCATTTCTTTGAATTGGTGCCTGATCTCAGAAACAAATGTCTCAAAGATTTAAAAACGCATTTTAAAACCGTCGGTTGCGTGAAAAATGCAAGCATTTATTCAGTAAAAACTGTATTTAGTGATACACCATATCACAAAATTTTAAAAGAATTTCCTTCAGTTACTAGATTACCAGATCCTAACCA